CTTTAAATAAAACTTTTAATTTTTATATTATTTCAATCCAATTTTAATAAAATAAAATTGATTTTTTTATAGCATTTGTTAACAGTTCATTTTATGGCTTAAACATTCTCCAGTTTATATTTGGGATAATCAAGCACTTGATTTAAGTACAAAACACATAAATACAAAATAAATCTTTAATATATTACAAATTAATTTTCAAGCCAATGACTAAAAATTTTATTGTTTTATATAAATTTTTTATTTTAAATGAGTTTTTATTCAAAAAGTTGGTAAGTTTTTGTTTCAAAGATGAAGATTTACTTTATTATGCAGAAGTACATTGGCTCTCCTATCATAAAGTTTTAAAACTCTTCAGCAAAAACTTTTCAATGAAATCAAAATGTGTTTAGAAATGAAAAGAGCATCAGCATAACAACTTGCAACAAAACTGGGTGCAGGATTTAACTATCATTGCAGATATTATGCACCATTTAAATGAATTAAATTTAAAACTTCAGGATTGAAATATACTTGTCACATTTCTGTGGTATTGCAATAAAGCATTTAAGTTAAAACTTGAAATTTGGGAAGGGGATTACAAAATTGTGATTTTAGGAAATATACTATAAATATTTAAGAATTATTATTTGAATATGAAAACTGATTTGAAGGATTCAAGGCACATGAAAATGATTATTTTACTATTTATTGCTCCTTTTTATAATGACAAAGAAGCAGAAAGAAACATTGAAATAAAATTGATTGAAATCCAGAGTAACAGTGTGCTAAAAGAAAAGCATAATAAAGTTGGTATTCCAGACTTTTATCTACACTTGCCAGAACATTTTATTGAAATGCATATGTTCTCTTCAAGAATATTTGCATTGTTTGGTAGTGCATAACTATGTGAACAATTACTGTACTTTTCACTTTAAAGACTAACTAGAGTTCATACAGGGTAAGAGTAACAAATATTCATTTAACATCTATATTAAAAACATTGTTGCAAAAATTAAACCTGATATTGATCTTTCTAGAAGATGCAAAGTTTCTAGTAAAAAATATTAATTTTTTAAATTTTGTTTTGTAATGTGTAGAATTAATATATTTTTTAAATTTTTGTAAATTCATTAAAGAAGAAATAAATGTAAAATTTAAATAAGTTATTTTCAAATATACATGAAAGACTTTTTTTGTCTGCAGCTTGCAGACTCCTTAAAATTATATTTGATAGACTTTGATCTTAAATGAGTTTGTCATCACTGCTCTAGATCATTTAAAAAAAAAAAAACAGGAAAAATTTGCAATGTGTTAAAAGTAATTATTTATTAAAAATGATTGGTATCTATAAGTCATGTAAATAAAAAGTAAAAGTAAAACTAAGATGTCAGCAAGACAGAATTATTTCATATTTATTACTTCACAAGATGACTAAAAATATCTATTTGTATTTGTTTGATAATATATCTCTGTCATATAATTGCTATATTACATTACACATTCCACTTTGTATGTAAATTTTTTGTGCATTAAAAATATGTATTTACTATCTTAAAAATGCATTTATTTATGTCAAATGAAAATTTTTGAAAAATGAAAAGTCAATAGATCAGTTTTATTTCAATGAACAATTTAATTTCATTAAATTAAATAGCTTGATAATCTTTTTAATTGTTACTATTACCTAGGGATTCCAGTTTGCCCTCTGTTACTTGGCACTCTGTTCAATGAATAATCAATAAAAAACTGTTAAATTTAGAAAATCAAACTAAGATTTTAAGCTCTGGGGGTAATCTGGGAGGATGATCTAAAAAGTACAATCAGAATGAAGAAAAATTATAAGCATCTCTTACCCTTTACTGCCAAAAAATGAGGGTCATATCTTCCAGACAAATGTTCCCTATACATCTAGAAGGAAACAGAATTAATTTGATATCCAAAGTATGATCTTTTTTCTAGTATAGTCCACAGTCACATAGTATAAGTAAGTAATTGATAACTGAGCATTCATTTTTTTTGTTATAATAAGAAATGAAAAAATTGATTGACATTGAATTATTCATTAATAAAATGTAATTTTAGATTTGTTGTTTGAGATGAATTTATTTTTGTTTAAATTTTATTCCTAAAGCCTCTGGGGATCTAACAGCCACATTTTCCCATAAGTATGCCACAGATCCAAGGTAACATAGACAAATGTATCTCCAGTAATCAAAAACTGTAATAACATGGAATGTTTGATAAATTATTAAATAAACTGGATTTTGATGCATTAATATGTAAATATACTATATTTTTAGATTAGATTTACTTATTGAACATAAAAGTGTTTTATTGTATAATTTAAAAATCATTAACTTTATTTAAAACTATTAATTAAAGCAAATATAAATAAATTTACAATTACAATTAAAATTTCCTTAAATTTTTTAAAATTTGCATTTTGTGATAAGTCACCAAAGTAAATTCTTTCTAAAACTTCTAGAGCCCCTTTCATGTACTGCTGCACATCACCTAGCCAAGATTCGTGAAATTAATTATATTGTATTATGTTCTCTTGTGTTTGTCGACAAAGTAATCTTCCATAAATGACTTCATTTAAATAGATTGTGGTTAATTGAGACACTACTGTATTTATTTACTATTAAAAACAATATAGTTGATCATGGAACTGATTTTCTATTCAAATTAGATTAATGTTGACTATATATATTCTACATACAGTTTACTGTTTGTGTCCTCTATACAATTGCACTTTTTTATTAATGTTCAACAAATTTAAAATACTTCTTGTTACTTTGTTAAACAATTTTTAGAATATATAATTAATATTAATCTAATTGATGTGAAAAATATTTTGTATAGTAAGTAATTTGGTTTTCTGAACTCATCAGGTTTTCTAGATATATTTATCTTATAAAAATAGTTATATAAATATTTCATTTACTAATAAACTGTCATGTAGAGAGTAAAATATACAGTATATTATGCTATAGATCACTGAATGAAAAATGAATGTATTATCATATTGTTTATTCTTTCTGCTGGAATATGATTTTAATAATATATTTGATATAAATATTTAAAACATGCCATGTAGTTTTCTAAACTACAGGCATACTTGCTTAAAATATATTAATAATGCAATAGAAAAGTAGTAAATTGTAATATATTTCAAGCAAATAAATGTTGAGTTCAGAAAACTATAGGCACGTAATAAATGTTTTTCAATCAGTATTCTCTTGAATACATTTAGACTTATAAAATCAGGACATAAAATGTAATAACAAAACTAAATATTCAGTAATGAAATTTCTTTATAAATGATGTAAACCAGTGTTCCCAACTTGAGGTATGTTACCCTTGAAGGTAAGTGAAGCATTTCCATGGAATATGTCAACAAATTGTAATGGCTGCCAAATTGGCAATTTTTTCATTTTAAAAGGGCTTTATATTTACATGATTCAAAATTTTCTAGACCTCAATAAAAGCCACTAATTTACAGATTTTAATATTTTATACATTTTTGAAGATATGAATTTAGTTACTTTAATCTTTCTTTTCTGTTGACTAACTTTATGTCAGTTTTACTAAAATAATGACATAGACCTTTAAGTCTATTAAATTGCATATTAATAGATTAAAAATCAATGATTACAGAGCAATCATTGAAAATCATTTGATAACATACATTAACTATATTCAGTTTATGAACATTGTGGAGTATGTGAAATATCCCATTTCCATGAAAGGGATACATACACTAGAAAAGTTTAGGAATTGCTGATTTATACTGTCATTAGTGACTTTGATAGAAAGATGACTGATTATATCAAAGTGTATGATTATTCAATAATATTTAAATCATAGTAAATATTGTTGAAGTGTTAAGATATATATATATATATATATATATAATATTTTTGTTCATTTATGCTATTACTATACATATTTTTATTTAAATTAACAGATATAGATACGTAACTTTAAATAAGCAAAAAAATTCATAGAATTAATTTTGTAATAACAATATTTTCTACATTTTATTGAAAAGCTAAAAAATATTGCAGTTAAATTACATTAAATTGGAAAATTTATTTCAGGAATAAAAAAATCTAAAAATTTTATATTGATAATCTTGAAAGATGTCTTATAATCTCATATGTGTTTTCTGTTTGGTAACATGCATGACTGTTGTATTTTCTTTCCCATAGGTCAAAATAAGGATCACACACCTAAAAAACAGATTTCTCATAGTTAGAACATGTATATAGCTGTTGCAAATTTGTGAATCATTTATACATCATATTTGTACATGTCTGGAAAATAATTATTATATGCCTGTGAATTATTGTGAATGTTGATTTTGTGCAATAATATGTTAATTAACATTTTTGCAGGTTTTAAATCAATCTTAACATAGTATAGTCATGCATTGTATCATCTCAGACTGATTAAAGTGTGTGTGTGTGTGTATGAACAAGTTGGAAATAAATAGAAGCATATACTGGTACAAAATATATAGCAATGTCTGCAACATTATGATCACACATAACTTGTCATTCCTAAAAATACAAAAATATCCAGTAATCTGGCATTTTTTATCTTCAGAAATGTTGCTACCAACAGAATTTGTTGCCTGCCTGAGATATGAAAAAAGTCATATGCAAGGCAGCATACTATATTGAAGGATCTCTCTTGTAACAGAAATAATAATAAACCAATTTAAACCTAATGTAGCACTGTTCCCATTAATTTTTGGATGCTTTTTGTAAATTATATTTTACTGTGAACTTTTTTGTAATTTAGCAGAAATTTCTGAGAAAAAAAAAATCCTTAAGTTAATAAATATTGTTATGTAGCCAATTTGTTATTATAATGAATTCATGTTAATACTAATGTATATTTTTTTCTTTAAAGCTTTAATATTATTACATGCATATATAACTATTATTATTTCAGATAAAATTCTGTTGTATATAGTATTTATTAAACATTTAATTTTTTCTTTAATCTAGAATTTATGCACAAGCATGTTGTGGCCATAAATTATTCACCCGAAGGTTCCTAGAAGTTTTGGAAAAGAAAAGTTAACCCATAAATGGATTACTCAGTGGTGATATCTGAATATTTGCCTTTATACGGCAATTGAGATTTTGAAAATATGATTGTTAAAGAAAATTGGACGAACAGTATAGACTGCTATATGTCACTGCCAATGTGTCAATATTTTTCAGAGACCATAGATATTTGTTTTCTAATAAAATGTCATTCATTTTCAAATGAAATATTTTAGAATGAGAAAGAAAGGTGGAACAAGTGAAGTTGGGATTTAATAAATTTATGTAAATAAAAAATGAAGAGAAAAACATAAAATGCATATGAAAATTACTTGTATTATGTTATTGCTTGTTAGTATGATCTACAGAAAAAGGATAGTCTTTATATTTCCATATTTTATTATTTTATTAAAAAACAGTAAAAAATGAAACAAAATTGAATTGCTACTATAAACCAAATAATTTTTTTTCAATTTACAGAAAAGTTGTGGTTTATCTGTAAATTAATTCATTTTTTTACATTAGTTAACAAATTAATTTACATAGTATATCATATTTTCTTTTTAAATTAGCTAATAGTTTATTTTATTTCAATTAGCTAAACCAAATGTCTTCCAATTGTTTGTTAGTAGTAATGTAATGTATCTTTCTTACAATAAAGCAGTTGTTGGTTTTACTGTTAAAAACTTAGAAAAGTCAGATTGAGCCAAGCTCAAACTTTCATATAAAATAAATCTGATATTCTGCAAAATTGATTGCAGAAAATTTATTATATTTATTTTATTTTCAAAGAATATGAATAATAGTAAGCATGTTTATTTTGATAATTAAAAACAAATCCATTATTTGTGAGATTCAGCATGGATCTGACAAAATAAAAACAAAGAAAATAAAATTTTTGTATTTTTATAAAACTATCAATTTACATCAACAAACAAAAAGTTGTTTCCAAAAGCTCAATTAAGATGAAATTGTGCACTTTTGTTTTAACACTTCAATGTCATAAAATACTCTGGTTTGTTCATCTCATTATTAATTTGTTTAATGTATTAAAAATAAAAATTATTATTCATCATATAAATATTTCATATTATAAAATGTTTATTTTATTATTTTTAGTAAGAAAAAGTAATAGTGATATAAATAGATACATGTTGCAGCAATAAAAGAATAAATTTAAAGTGTTAAAACATATTAACATATTATTGTAAATAATTAATTAAGATTTTTAAGCTATCAAAAACAAAAAAAAATATATGTATAAACTATATATATATATATGAATATATCATACAGAAAACATTTAGTTTTAATATACTATTCTTGTATTTTAAGTTATGCATTCTTGCATAAAATTTCAAAGAAAAAATACAGATAATTAAATTATTTTTTAATATTTGCATATTTATTCTAGCATATGCTTTCTGCTATATGCTTGAGAATTCTGCTGACTTACTTTTATAAAATTGAGGTTTGTTACATAAAAATTCCAAAGAAATATGATTGTTTTATTTTTATCTTTTGGTTGTGATTTGTGTTGAAATTAAATATAATTTAATAAATTAAATTAGATGATATATTGATGTGATATTGTCTCTTGTTATGTAATGTATCAATATGCACAATTGATTCAATTATGTATCATAATTTTGTTAAAATATTTGTCAGCAAGACAGTTTTTTTGTGTTTATGTATATCAATATCATAAATTAAATAAGTTGTTACTTTTTAATTTGAATGTATTACAAAATATAAAAAGATACATTATCATCATTTATTATTTAAACAAAAAATAAAACTCATAGCATTTAAAATTTTATATAATTGATTCCAAGAGTACAAAACATTAATGCATAGTATATGAATCATCACACATCAGTATGTACTTATTTTAAAATCACAAGACTAATAAAATAGCTTTTAAAATAGTGTTTTTTTTTTTTCTTGTAAAATTTAATCTTATAACTATGATATATAAATATGTTGGTTTATTGTATCTTTTCAATTTTGTTTTATTTTGGTATTTTTGAAATAATTAGATCATCCCTTTTTTTCATTTATTCATTCATTATGTGACTAAAATGATGAGGATGAGTTATGTGATTAGGAGTGTTCTGATTTTATTTATGAGTTTCAAAAGGTAATGTGTTTAGAAAGAGAGAACATGAGAGGGGGGAATCATGTACATATGTAAATATTGTATATTTAGTTCAGTTATTTGTTTTGTAGTTGTGTAAATAACTGGGTGTTATATAATAAAAATGCACTTTTAAAAAGCTTTGTTTTTTTTTTTGGTTCAGAATAGCTTAAGACTGTGTGAACTTTTTTGTATAATAAAAAGTACAAAAATTATCACTCGGTATTTAATTATTATTTTCAGTTTCCAAAATAAAATATAGCATTTGAGTAATGCTTAAAAGTATATAATTGTTATTGAATAATTATAATAATTAAAATTTACATGAACTCTTTTTACAGATCACCTCAAAATTTTATAAGATGTAACTACAGTGGTGTATTTTTTTACTACATGCAATAAAAAAAATAATTGTTTAACTAGTTATAGTCCATTTTTTGTACTTACAATTATTACAAATGCATAAATAATCAAAAGCAAATTCACAAATTTAAATGTTCACGGTTTTTTTCATAAGTTTGAAATTAATGAAAACAAAAAAATGATTTTACTTAATTTTAATTGCTTTAAACATTTGACATAAATTAATGATTTCAAAATTGTTAGGAAGTTACAAATTATGATAATCTAAATGTAGTAATTATTTATAAAATAAATATTTCAATCCTAATTTTTTTTTAATTTTAAATTGGAGTATCAATGGATATAAATCAAAACTGGAATGAAGATTTCTATAGAGAAATACATCTTGATATTCCAGTAAAATGTCTTTATTTACCAGTTCTCATTTTGCTGGAATGTTAAGATGTGTTTATAGAATTGGAACATTCATATAATTAATAATAATTTTCATTTTAATTAATTGACAATTTATAAAAGATTAAACACTATATACACAATAATTATGTTTTTGCTGAGCTCTACTTTTCAAGCTGGTTACATCAATTTTTTTTAATTAATGTAATTTTAAATGTATTTTAAGTATATTGAATTTGTTTTGTAAAATATAATTTAGAAAATTTAACTGTGAGAAAATAATTTGATTATATTTATAATATAAATAGATTATATAGTGATTTCTTTTGGCCTGTTTTTGTTGTCTTTATATACAATATGACATTTAAAACATAATTTTTTGTGTACAATTCAACAAGGGGATTTTTTAAATTCTTTGAATCAGCAGTGAGCTCAACATTTATTAAAAATAAAAAAATCCAATTTCTGTCATATATGTTTTCCTCAAAGTTGACTCTAATTGATCTACTTATCTACTGATTGATAAACTCGGTAAATATGGATCACCTGATGTCACATATCACAAAATATTAGTGATGTAACGAATATTCGGTTACTATTCGGTATTGGGCCTAATTTTTCGCTATTCGTCCGAGTACCGAATATTTAATCACTATTCGGCCGAATATCGAATAACTAAAAACAGGAGTAAGAAATAACAAAAACACAGTAAATTAATNATTGTTTTATTTTTATCTTTTGGTTGTGATTTGTGTTGAAATTAAATATAATTTAATAAATTAAATTAGATGATATATTGATGTGATATTGTCTCTTGTTATGTAATGTATCAATATGCACAATTGATTCAATTATGTATCATAATTTTGTTAAAATATTTGTCAGCAAGACAGTTTTTTTGTGTTTATGTATATCAATATCATAAATTAAATAAGTTGTTACTTTTTAATTTGAATGTATTACAAAATATAAAAAGATACATTATCATCATTTATTATTTAAACAAAAAATAAAACTCATAGCATTTAAAATTTTATATAATTGATTCCAAGAGTACAAAACATTAATGCATAGTATATGAATCATCACACATCAGTATGTACTTATTTTAAAATCACAAGACTAATAAAATAGCTTTTAAAATAGTGTTTTTTTTTTTTCTTGTAAAATTTAATCTTATAACTATGATATATAAATATGTTGGTTTATTGTATCTTTTCAATTTTGTTTTATTTTGGTATTTTTGAAATAATTAGATCATCCCTTTTTTTCATTTATTCATTCATTATGTGACTAAAATGATGAGGATGAGTTATGTGATTAGGAGTGTTCTGATTTTATTTATGAGTTTCAAAAGGTAATGTGTTTAGAAAGAGAGAACATGAGAGGGGGGAATCATGTACATATGTAAATATTGTATATTTAGTTCAGTTATTTGTTTTGTAGTTGTGTAAATAACTGGGTGTTATATAATAAAAATGCACTTTTAAAAAGCTTTGTTTTTTTTTTTTTTGGTTCAGAATAGCTTAAGACTGTGTGAACTTTTTTGTATAATAAAAAGTACAAAAATTATCACTCGGTATTTAATTATTATTTTCAGTTTCCAAAATAAAATATAGCATTTGAGTAATGCTTAAAAGTATATAATTGTTATTGAATAATTATAATAATTAAAATTTACAGTAGCCAATTTGTTATTATAATGAATTCATGTTAATACTAATGTATATTTTTTTCTTTAAAGCTTTAATATTATTACATGCATATATAACTATTATTATTTCAGATAAAATTCTGTTGTATATAGTATTTATTAAACATTTAATTTTTTCTTTAATCTAGAATTTATGCACAAGCATGTTGTGGCCATAAATTATTCACCCGAAGGTTCCTAGAAGTTTTGGAAAAGAAAAGTTAACCCATAAATGGATTACTCAGTGGTGATATCTGAATATTTGCCTTTATACGGCAATTGAGATTTTGAAAATATGATTGTTAAAGAAAATTGGACGAACAGTATAGACTGCTATATGTCACTGCCAATGTGTCAATATTTTTCAGAGACCATAGATATTTGTTTTCTAATAAAATGTCATTCATTTTCAAATGAAATATTTTAGAATGAGAAAGAAAGGTGGAACAAGTGAAGTTGGGATTTAATAAATTTATGTAAATAAAAAATGAAGAGAAAAACATAAAATGCATATGAAAATTACTTGTATTATGTTATTGCTTGTTAGTATGATCTACAGAAAAAGGATAGTCTTTATATTTCCATATTTTATTATTTTATTAAAAAACAGTAAAAAATGAAACAAAATTGAATTGCTACTATAAACCAAATAATTTTTTTTCAATTTACAGAAAAGTTGTGGTTTATCTGTAAATTAATTCATTTTTTTACATTAGTTAACAAATTAATTTACATAGTATATCATATTTTCTTTTTAAATTAGCTAATAGTTTATTTTATTTCAATTAGCTAAACCAAATGTCTTCCAATTGTTTGTTAGTAGTAATGTAATGTATCTTTCTTACAATAAAGCAGTTGTTGGTTTTACTGTTAAAAACTTAGAAAAGTCAGATTGAGCCAAGCTCAAACTTTCATATAAAATAAATCTGATATTCTGCAAAATTGATTGCAGAAAATTTATTATATTTATTTTATTTTCAAAGAATATGAATAATAGTAAGCATGTTTATTTTGATAATTAAAAACAAATCCATTATTTGTGAGATTCAGCATGGATCTGACAAAATAAAAACAAAGNAATCATTTTGGTATTTAGATTTAATGTTATCGGGTTAGTGTTGTTTGTTTATATTTATTTATAACTTGTAACATGCACAAAATAAAAAAGAAAATAATATTAGTCACATGTATTCGCAATTTATAATTACAAAGATCAGCAGACGTACACACTTATTCGTTCGAAAATCGTCGCACATCTGAGGTCTGACCCTGCCTATCCTTCTTTTTAAGCGCTCGTCTTTGCTCTTCCCTTTCTCTTTCCTCTATCGCTCTAGTCCACGTATGGCTATGCATACATCATAATACGCCCTCGCGATACTTTTGATTCGTCACTTTTCTGTCGTAGATTTCCCATTTTCCAATTACGTGACTCGTAGCCTAGTGATAACGGAGAAAAGAGACAGATAGGACGTAGTTATAAGTCACAGTTATGATTTCACAGATTCGAAACAGCTTGGTAGCCCGAACGACCCCAGGCTTTCGCCCGTGCACCTAAGTGACTTTCATTACAAGCATTTAGCTTTCCGAAGTCTATGACAACAATTGTTTCGCATTCACGGCCTCGAATTTCGCGCCAATAAGCTGCCACGACTTGTTCGAGGCAGCTTATTGAGTTGAGCTTATTGTGTTATCAACTCAATTTCATATTTATTTTCACTTTTCGGTCCTTCTCTGTTCTTCTTCCGTTATTTACACGTGTAGGTCATTTCATTGTTATCCACATTTGATATTATCACTTCTCACATACTGCCATGACGCTCTTGTCTGAACTATCAAGAATTAACGCGATTGGAGAAGCATAGTGACAGTGGGCCAATAGAGAGCAGGGTCCTTGCTATAATGCGGTTTGCGCGCCGATTTTCGTACGTGCGTTAATCAAACCGAATATTCGGTATTCGGTCTGAGGCCGAATATACTATTCGTTGCAACACTACAAAATATATATAAAATTAAAGTGTAACATTTAAAAATTTAAAGTTTATACGAAAAGGATTATAAAGGTATTTTTACAAGTTAAGTGATATATTATGATTTTAATTAGTAAGTTTGGATTATTATAAAAATAAATGAAATATTTTAAGTAGGTTAATAAATACTGTAAATAGAATGAATTTATCGACAAAAGTATTTTCTTGAAGATTAGTCATCAAAATGCAATACAAACAACTAGAAACAAGGAATGAAACAGCAAAAAGTGGCAAACAGGTAGAAAGAATGACAACGATATTAAATTTCTCAGCAATTGTTTTCAGCAATTTAATATTCCATGTTGAAAATTGAATGTTCTCTTGGTAATGGAAACGATTCTTTTCGAAGAATTGCTAAGAAACGGTCTCTTCCAGAATAAGAATGGAGCCAATATTAATTGGTTATACTATAGAAAATATTTTCCTTAGCGTTTGGGAATGAAAATAGTTTCAATAGTATAACTACATTCAATACAATATAGTTCATACAAGCCATGTAACTTGCAATTTGTGTAAATTCTGTGTTGAGAGAGCCGACTTCAAACTAGAGAAGTGTCATAGAGCTATTCCCAATAGAGTGGTCACGGAATCGGATAACATTTTTACTAATGAGAGTTCTCGGGAAGATTAAGTATTAAAGCTTTAAATAGTGGTTATTTTATTTTTGCTAGATTCTGTATTTATGTTGTTGTTATATTTTTGTGAATAAAGCATAGTATAGTCAACCCATATAATGTTTATGTATTGCGTTTGGAAAGTAACAAAATAATTTTCGATAACGTTATTTTGAAATCGAAATTTCTGTCGGGTGTTCTTAGTTTATGGAAAATTTTATCTTCAGAAGTTAGACAAAATATTCACATATCAAGCCACAAAGCCACGTCAAGGCGACACCCATTTTGTGGTAGTTTTTTTTTAATTTTCCAGAAACTAACCCTGATTGCTAGACAGATAACAATCAGAGAATAAAACTGGATATTCGTTGCTATTCCATTAATTTAGACAACTGAAATCGTTTGCGAAAAATACAATTATCATACCATTATAGTCAAACGCTCTTATTAGGGAAAAATAATTCTCAACGCAGATTTGTCATTTTAAACTAAATACAAGAACGATTTAATGTTAAAAATTGTAAGAATTAACGCATGAATTGATATAAATATTCTTTACAATGAGGGCAAAATTTTGATCTATAGACATTCCCATTAATTAATCATCTCAAAATAGAAGCACAATAGCAATGAATAAAATATGAATTGTTTACATCTTAAAAGTAACAACATACACGTTATACTATACATACAATACATTGAAATGTATAATCATAAAATATATTACAATTAATTATATAGAAGAACGTTCAATAAGTAATGCCTCTATATATACAAGCTGAGTGGCAAGATATCAAACTGAAATCAAAAGAAGAACTAAGTTCAATATTTCTAATTTAATTAACACTATTTTTCTAAGTAGTCACCTTCGTGTTCGATTCAGATACGCCAATATTTAACCAATTTTCAAATTCGTCTCTGCAGAAATTTTCAGGTTCTCGGAACCATTTCCTCGTGGCGGCTTGAACATCGTTACAAGTGAAATAAATTTCTTTCAGATTTCTCTTGAAAGTAGAAAGCAACCAAAAATCTGAGGACTACAAATCTAGGCTGCAAGAAGGGTTGTTCATTTTGAATTTGTAAAGAAACGTTCGATGCTATGTTGTTCCGAATTCGAGCACAATTTACCTGAAGATTGCTCAGGTAAATAGAGTCAAAAAATGTTTAGTAAAGAAATTTAAATACTCCAGTGGGTAAGATGTTTTTTTTTTTATATTTAGTTAAAATAGGAGCTTGGACTAGATTTCTGTCAAGGACTTCAAACCCGAGTTTCTATGGCTTCTGGTGTCGGAGAATCTAGCGTAGTCATGTTGCGGATTCATTGGCTTTGTCCACCACATTCCAGCACCATAAACTTCATAATTTTGCATAAATTTCTTCGGGAGACTCATTTTCACGACTGATCAATTTGGTAAGTGATCGTTGTTTCATTCGCTCCAACATAATTGAAAAAGTAAAGTATCATCCTTAACTGGATGTTACTTTTTAAACAATGAAATTTCAACTAAAACACGTTTCATATTCTACCATGCATTAGAATGTAACTAAAGAAGCAAAGAATTATTTTTTTAATTGCTTGCTAAGCAACTTCTGCGCGAACCATTTACAAGGAGGCATTACTTATTCAACGGCCTAATATATAAGCATTAAATAATTATTTATTTACACAAATTTATACTTCTATACTTAAACGACGAAAATCTTTCTTATTATAAATTCATACTTCTTAATATTATCTTTATCTAAATTTATAAAATGTATTCGTGGTTATAAATAAGCTTATACAAGTTATTATTAGATAATGAAACAAACTTATTTGCAGTGATAATTATTAAGTTTCTTCTATCCAGGAAATTCTGTAATCAGCATTAAAACTTTCTTAATTATTCCTTCATCAAGCATCACTCTTCCTTTCTTCCAATATCCTTTCAGAAATCGATAGCTTACTCATAAGCTTCTGCCATTTAGTCTTCGGTCCAGAAACGGATGTATTATTTTAATTCTTTACTCTTTACAGATGAAAATAATTATACCTGTAGAAGAACAAGCAGAAACTTGAAAGATGTCTGCCGGAGTATATTACAGTGGTAGAATTTCTTCTGTTTAGCAAGTACAGAAAATTAAATAATTATGTAAAGTAGACTAAATAAAATTTTTAATTAAAAATCTTACCATTCTGGCATTCAGTAACAATTATCCGATTAAATTCTAGATACAGATGTAAAACTGTAGAACCAGTATATTTCTTTTTAAATTTTTAATACCGTAGTTAAATATGGGTTAAATAGAAACGGAACACATTCCTATTTAATCTATGTAAAAATGCAAATTAAGCTGTTTTATTACAAATTAACCTATCATATAAATTTGTCAAACATTTAACACTGCATGTAAACTGTATTTAAACTCTTGTATATTGAGATTGTGTGAAGTGTAGGCTAAATTATTACTAAATTGCTGCATGTACTGTAGGAATAGTTGAAGAAGGAATAAGTTTTTTCTTTGTTTTCCTTCATTGAAATTTGTTGGATATTTTGTGTGTTGAACATTTATAAATGTGTTTAATTGAGAAAGATATTGCTTCACCTTCGCGTTAATGTAAGGAGTATGTATTAGTGATTTTGGGCGTTAATTTCCCATATTGTCATCTCTCTACAATCAGTTGAAGATCTGGAAAGTGAGTTGAATTATATTAACTGTTTCCCTGATATATTTAGCCTAATATATACGAAACATTCATTCTACAAACGTACTTTACGAAAGAAGATAATTTGAGGTAGTTATTAAATAATGTATTGAGTATATTTATTTGTAAAATTATAACGTAAAATATTATTAAAATATAATTCAAATTTACAAAAGTTTGATATAACCGTTTAATTATTATCGATATTAAAAGTAAAGAAAGTGCTACTTATCCCAATTCTTCTTTCTTGTGTCACCAGGAAGAAATGTCAAAAGAAATTTCGATTTTGAAGCAGCATCAACCAGGAATGATATTCATGATTTCGCTGGACATTGCATGTATTTGATACAATCTTATTCCTGTACTGATTTTATATAAGAAATAGCTTCTTTATGATTACACGGGATACTTTGTCATTTACGTTATCTCGTATTGTTATTCAAACGTGAAATATATCTTACAGTTTGTAATTAAACTTCTCTGCAAACCAAATTATATCCTTCATAAAAGATCTTAAGAGAATTAAACATATTTCCAGAATTGATTTCTATTTAAACTAAAAATTATCACACGATTATTGAGAATAAATACCTAATTTGAACGAAAATAAGCTTATATTTAATTAAAATCTATTTTATAAATCAATCCAATTAATTTCGTTTAATAATAATTTGTGTAAACATCTTATATCTAATTGATGAAGATGTTTGAACTCGAAACTTATTCAATTTTAATTAGGTAAATAAGAAATACGAATAAGAAACAAAAAAAAAATTACTTTCGAAACCAAAATTCTGTCGAAAGACTTCAAAATGAAGAGAAAAACAATAAAAATTTTCAGAGAAATCTTTGTCTTGGCTACCAACAATAGAAAAAGAAACAATTTGAAGCTATTGTTAATTAATTGTGACATCACAACAATACATCACTTCGTCGAATACGTCGAAATTTGTCAAATCATTTAAATCATTACTACAAATGTCCAATATTTATGTATACAGTAATTTTTATATTTCGTATAATTCAACATAATTCAGAAATTGGTGAAGATGGGATATGAAATACGAGAGATTATCTTATATTAAAAAGACTTTATTACCTTTCTCCCAACTTTGTTATGTTTGAAACCGACTTTTCTATTCTATAATATTTGAAAACTTCTATCTTAAATTTAACTTATTCCATTCCTTACATTCACCCAATAGACTTAATTTTTAAGGAAAGTTTGCTAAATTAATAATGAATTCCAAAATATACAATTAAATTTCATGACAATGATATCAAATATTAGGAAGTTTTCAAATTGCAAAAATTCTCCATTTATATGTAGATACGCATGCCTTTATTATATACTATAAAATAAATTTGTAATCTTATCTCGGATAAAGTTAATATTGCAACACTACCCCCGAAGAAATTACATATAATTCCCTTTTATTCGACGAACTATTCGGTTGTATCATGTTGGATCGCCATCTTTAGAAACTGCTTCGTTGATCGAAGCGGTGACCGGGGAGAGGGAAAGTAAATGGAAAAAATGCACATTTTTCACGCTTTTCGCAACGGGCATGTCTCGTAAATTCTTCGTTGAAAATTTTTTATATAACGAGAATAACGTTTATGAGACATTAGTTGGCAGTGGAAAATAGTAGATTGTTTTTTACCTTACATAAAACTAGCAAAGAATGCCCAACGTTACCCGAAAACTCTGGGATAGGGTTCAGTTGTACTCATTTGAATGTAGTGTATGTTTCCCACAAGGGTGGCAGACTATGCAAAATTTGGTGCAAATCGGTGAAAGGATTTGACGATTTTGTGGTGGATGAAATCAGGGAATTGTAGAGAGTAATTATGCAAATTTTATCCAGATCGCTCAAAAGGTTTGGGAGTTTGGGGATAGGGGAATGAAATCAGAAAAAAGGAGTGCGAGTCTTAGTTTTACGGTAGTCCATGATTCCCGTAGGTATCCGAATAAGTAGATAATAAGTTTAAAAAAGTCCATCAGATGACGAAAGGAATTGACGTCAAATTGCAGATAAATGACGATACAACGAAGCGAGACAAATGCCACTGTAAAAACATGTTTCTCGTACATTTTCCTTTTTTTAATGTGAAAATAATATATAGCCTATGTTCATCTGGAAGGAATAAACTTTTCAATAACGAAAGAATTTTAAAATTCGGTTTAATAGATTCCGAGATTACCTTCATCAAACAAACAAACAAACAAACAAACATTCTTGCTTTATAACCTATATTAGTATAGATAAATATAAACACAAGATGATATATAAAGAAGTCAATAACTAGTTAATTGAGATTTGTTTGCTGAAATATACCGCACGTTTCACTAAAAATAATAAAAAGATATGAAAATGTAATTTTGTTAATTAGTACGATTATAAGTGTATTTTACAAGTGGATCGTATCGTGTAGATCAGTGTTTTTCAACCTTCTTGAATACGCGACCCCTTTACAAGTTAAAAAATTCTGAAGACCCCCAGAGCCGTATTAAAACTATATCAGTGATTTTAAAAACTACATATTTAATTTTCTTTCTTTAAATATCGATTGAAAAACCAATTGTACTGTAAAATAAACAGTCACAGCCTTCTCACTGAAATTCTTTTTTTTTTTTTTTTTTTTTTTGTAGTGTAGGACCTACAAACACTTGTCTTTTTCTTTCACCCGTGACCTACCGTGTAAGGCTTTGCGACCCACAGGTTAAAAACACTGGTGTAGATGATATCGTATTTTATAAATTGGTCGCTGGCTGAATGGCCGAAGTGGTTAAACCTATCTCTATGGGAATCCAGGGAGGAGAATTCCAGGAATTTTTATGGACGATATGTCTTGGATTTGTAGAACCCCGTCATTAACCATTTGGCAATCCCATTGTGGACTTGGATAAACCTGCGATGGGCTTGGAGTAAAGGCCGGGTTATAACTTATGGGATGGAGAGTGAAATAATGGAGAAACAATCAGAAATAAATATATGAAATGAACTAAAATTATTTTTTGAACACGTCTCAAACAAATAAATTTAATAGTAAATAAATAAAAGCTCATCAGCTAAAGAAAAATACTACATGTTTGATATCTAATAATATTTATTATTATCTAATACTTAATAACATGTTTGATATTTAATATCGTGTTTGATATTTGATATCAAACATGTAACTAATTACATTAGACAATTTTTAAGTTCTGTGAAATACACCAATGTATTTAGAGCGATCTTTATATATTGATGTCAACTCTCTAAGTTTTTCATTTAGAAATAATTTGAAACTCTATAAAATTATTCAAGTTATTCATAAATATTTAATAAAAATGGTCTACTGTTATGGCAACAAAAATATTTAATTGATATCTCCAGACATCTGATATGTGAAGCATTTTATTTATATCATGAAATGACGATACTAAAATTACTTTGATATATTAAATACAATTAATATTTATCGGATGATGGTAATTAAAGTACAGGCGGTGCAGAAATAAAAAAAAAAAACGGAATCGCAAAACGCATCTTTTTCACTGGACACTAGTGACATGCTGTCGCTTTTTCGGCACATGTGTTCCGCATTCAGGACGAAACGAGGGAGATGTGATTGCATCTTTTATTCTTTCAACTTTTACTTTATGTAGTTTGACCAGTGGGTCGAGCGGTTAAGGTGGCAGTCTACCGCTCTGAAGACCCCAAAATGGAATCCTTACCGGTCAATTTTTCGAACCGTCTATCCCGATAAGTCAAGCCCTGTCCCTCACCGCCTTGTCGCCATTGTGGACCTTCCGGACGGGTCGAAAAATTTCTGGGGATTTTTCGACCCGTCCGGAGCAGTAGGTAACCACCTTTGATCGCTCGGCCATCTACTGAAGTGAATTGTAATCGGTTGTTAACATGGCGTCTCCGCAAAAGTTGAATCTCGCTCTACTAGTGCGGCATGACAAAAAACGGCAACATTTCAATATTCGCGGCAACGAAAGTTATCGCAAACGTATGTGCATCTTTTTTACCTCTATTTACGGTAACTCTGTCTGGAGGGATACACTCCCGCAGGAAAACGGGCGATTATAAATAGGCAGTAATTTTCAATATTTTAAAATAAATTTTCATGTACAATGCTTCAAACAAGATAATTTGCCATTTATGTTTTGAAGATGATATCACCCAAATGATCCTCATTCTTGTACAAACACACTTCGTATCTTCGAAGTATGTCGTGCATAGAGCAGTGCAACATATTCTTCAGTGTGTTGTTGATTGAATGCCTTAAAAGTTTTAATATTAGACGATATTCATATAGCAAATTCGTCGTTAACAAAATATTGAAATTCTTAACTTTTGTAAAAGATGTGAAAGACCATATTTGTAATAAGGCTGTGTATTGATCTTAAACATGTATTGTCTGAGGCCAGCTGGAACTAGGCCTCATTGGAAAAGAAAGAAGCGAATGACAACACACTTATTTCTTCGATGTTATTTAGATATTCTCTAGTAGTTGATTTTTTTTTTTATGCAGAATGTTCTCAAGAATGTCATGAAAACGGACAGAATACAAATTTACTTTTCCATTATGACAACAGTCGCTGAAATGAAAGTTGTTTCTATTACAGACTTTTTCGCATTCAAATGTAAAGCTAAACAATTTGGGTACATATGACAACGGTCCTAGATCGAAATACATTGGTTGAACATTCGGATCGAGGGCTATTTTGAGAAGATAGAGTCTTGCATTTATGGTCAAAGAAATGACTAATGGCTCAATCTCGCTCCCAAAATTCGACGAAAAGTCTAAATCAACAGCTTGCTATAATGTTTGCATGGTTACAATTCTAACCTGTTCTAGAGCCCTTGCGTATCAAGAATTTGTGGTTTTTGAGAAGAATCAGCTACGACATTTTCAACCATTGTTGTCATAATACGTTTTCTCCGTGCGATTATGTACTTCCGATCTCGGCTGTGTTCTCTAACACCGGTAAAGTTTTTTCTTCTCCACTTTCTTGGTTGTGTAGTTTCATTGCCTTGAGTTAGAATAACTTTCATTTCGATCGGCTGTCCAGATGTCGAGGGTAACAGACCTTCAACATGTAGACTTTGTTCATGTACCTCAATGTTAAATAAGAAAATGAATGGTTAAAAAGCACTTATTTTGTACTTTTTTATTTGAAATAAAATTATTTTCTAGGAAGCGGTCGTTTCTAAATAGAGAAATACAGTAATTCACACTTAATTTACTCTTTGTTAGCAATCTTTTACGTTTTTGTTGAGATTTGAGAGTTTAGTTATTCTGTTTTTTTTTAATACTCTTTTTGCCCTGTGGGCACTAAGAGATCTTATAGCGACCCATTATGGGTTCGCCCAGGCCTACAATGAAGCGATCGGGTGGTGAGGGACGAGGCCCAGACATATCCAGACGGACCACCCCCCGAAAGTTCGTGGGGATTTTTCGACCTGTCCGAATTCGATCCCGGATCCCCCAGAGCGGTAGGCTGCCACCTTGACTGCGCGGCCATCCGGCCTCCTGCGAGAAGACCTGTGGGGATTAGAACAGGTTTTACAATCGCTCGTCATGTTTATCCCGTAGTCTTAATATTGCATACCTTTTCCACTCCACAGTGCCTGAACCGTTGTACCTTTCTCAAATATCTCTTCAGGGCATCATTCACATCATAAGAGCTTTAATTCGATACCTAAACCGCATTTTTATTCGTAACCGTTTACTCAAATTAAGTCGGAAAACTGAAATCCTCTTTCAATTAATTAATATATATATGTACTGTGTATAACTATTACTACTATAATAATAATGGTATACATAATTAACCAAATTAATATGAACATTTTTTCATTCCCTACGGGACCTAAGAAGGCCTTTTTTTTACCATACCCATCATATGTTCGGCCAAACCCGCATGGACCGAGTGATGAGGGACGAGATCCGGACGTATCAGGGATTTATCGTTTATGAAAAATTTCCGAGAAATTGCTCGCTTGGATTCGATTCCAGATCCCCAGTGCTGTATAATCTCATTTATCAAATAGGTAAATAAATATAAAAATATAATCTTTAATAACAAATATTGAAAATGTTAAACGTCTTTTCGAATTTTCGACGCATGTTATATATTAGGGCTCCTGTTTTCGTTACCAGGTGTTAAAATTGGATAGATTTACTATATTGGAATTCCCTACAATTCATTTAGTTTATTTCATTTTTAAGATCAAAAAGTCCTAAAATATCCTGCGAATCTACATTTGTTTCTTTATGATAAGATATTGAATTATTTCAAAAGCACAATGTAGGCTAAAGGCCTGCTGCATTTAAAGATAAAAATCTATTTTTAAATTTTCCTGCAATATAAAAACTATTGCAGGAAAATTAATTAGTTCAAATAAATATATAAACTAACAAAATAAAATGTAAATAGAGAATCATAAAATTTACGAAATAATTTATGAGCATATCTTTTATAACACGATAATATAATAAAAATTTAAAATCCGTCTAACATAAAATGTATTGTTTGTTGATCCATTTTATTCAGTCAAAGTCCATGAAATAAATAAAATTTGTAAAAAAAAAAGGCACTACACTACTTTTTATACTGTTAATGATTATTTGAACAAAAGTATTTACAAGTTAATTAGAATAATTTCTTTGATCCAGAAGGGTTACTTAATCAAGAAAAAAAAAACAAATGTTAATTGTAAAGAATTTTTTGTAAAAGTGCATACATTATTACTCAGAAAATGTCTTAAATTTCCATTTTTTTACGAATAAAATGCGTTAATAAAATAAATAATAAAATAAAAATATAGCTTTAATTTGAACTAAACATTAAATGACACAAGAACTGGAACTATTGTTTTTTTTTTTATATTACAGAAAACAATGCCTTGATAAAAACTCAATTTTCCGAATGAGAGATTAAATTTTAATTATCTGTTAATATAAATTTAAAAACGAATTTTTTAAAAAATAAATTAAGTATAAAATAATTTGAAAAATTTGATTAATTTATGGTAGAATAAGGACTATTTAACTATCAGTTTATTTATTGAAGATGAGGGTAAAGTAATGGCTATGTTTACTATCTTGTGACCTTTTCCTTCGGTGTACATTTTATCAACAACCACATATTTTGCAGTGTTAGAGGCTGCGTAAACACGTAGCTTAATCAGTAATGTAACTGATAACATTTATCAAAATGTTAGCTTTACGTAACGATCATAAGTTATTATTTTTTTAAAAATTATTTTAAATAAAAAAGACAACTTTTCTATAATCGGTTATGTTAAATTTTCATTAAGATTTCTCTAATGAAACCTGCCAAGATACATTACATATAAAACTATAAACGTTGCGGATAGAATTTCACAAGCACGATGAGCAATAAACAAAAATAGAGATAGGGATTAAAAAAAACTTACATAGAAATCACAATGATTCAAAAAGAAGTCCGTTTTATTGGTCGATTCGATCACGTGACCAAATGATATAACTAATCGTAAAATAAAAATAATTTTACGTCATCAAATCTTTTCTTATCATCTATTGGTTGTAATTTGCCACGTGGAGCTTAATACAACCAATCGGGATGGAAAAGAAATTACTGTAGACACGACGGTGAACTGGAGTCTTTCTGGTCTCGAAGTAGGAAGGAGGTTAGTACTATATTTGTTGTATTTAAGTTAAAATTAGTTGTGATATTATATTTAAATTCGATATTAAATGTTGTTTAACATTTCTAGACGGTCATCTGGCCACATTGGATCCAATTACAAGGTCAAAAACTAATTAGGACAGTCTATACCCGGACGCAGTACGGTGAGTTGTTAGGGCTAAATGGGTGACACGTCGACGTATTAGAATTAAGATCATTGCTGTTAACTCTGTACATTGTCATTAATTGTTCACATATTTACCACCAGAGCATACATAAATACGATTATTAGTAATATTTTCTCTTCTTTTCATTGTCACAATCTTAACTTTTATTTTATTTATAACACTTTTTTTTTTAATCTTTCATATAATAATATCATCCCTTGTTATGGATTTAAAACTAATTTAGATCTAGTTTTAATGTCTGTAATTCAGAATTGTATGGTAAAGTTATCTACTTTCCTATTAGGAAATCTATCAGGTGGTGAGTTTACATTACATTCTATGGTGATTTAAAGAGGTGTAACCTTTATTTGATTAACTATATCCACTTAAAATTAACAGTTGTAATAAGAGTGTCAATTATTATGACCGAAAGTAAGTTTACGTACCACTGAAATATTAAATGATCTGTTCAAATGGTTGCTTCTTTTCGGTCGGTAAACTTGAAAATAGGTTACGTTAGATAGCTTAAATGATTCAATATGTTTTCGTATATTTTATTAATTTCATAATGATTTCATATTATTTTAATATGTTTAGGAAATAAATTACTTAAATATATCTGTTGTCAATTTGTTATATCCTATTAATTAATATTAAAAGTTATTTGAATAGAATTTTTGTTTATACAATAATTTTTTTTTTCTAATAGCTGTGAAAGAAAATGATGTTTTTCGTTATACTATATTTTTATATTTTATAAAATTAATAACAATTGTGAGTTTATTAGCAGTATGACTTTTATTATAAGGAAAATATACCTGAATTTTCTTTAAATATGGGTATAAAGTCAGCTTGTAATGGCATTACAATGAATCATTATCATAATATTGTATCTAAATATAGAAAAAGATATTTCTAAGGAATAGCTTTTTAATATATTAATCACATATATATATACATACATACGTACATACATGCACACATACAAGAAAAAGATTTGAACTACTGTTTTACTATAATTTTATTTTGTTGAAGGTATTTCTAATGTATTAATTCCCGCCTCTTACAATATTTCAGTTATATATTATATAATCTGAAATATAGATATTAAATAATTTTAGATGTTTAGTAATACATGTCTAATTTTTGTTAAAATTGTTAACAAATATTACAAAGTATTTTAATAAAAATCTCTTTTCTACAACCATTAACTTGTTATAATATTGAAATTTTTAATTGATAAGCAAAATTTCTTCTATTTTGCTAACAGATATAAGGGGAAAAATAGTTTATTCATCAAATGAATTTGCAAGAGTTGCAATTATCAGCTTATGATTAGGACAAAATGTCAGTTATTTCTTTTGGACTTTAAAATCGCATCATTGTACATATAAACATATTCTTCAATTTATTATAAAATAATTGTGGATATGCAAAATTAATTTTTAATTCTTAAATATTTAAATGTAATGTTTCAAAGTTGTAGTATTTATCAAAATACAAAAAATGATTGTTTAATCATTTTTACGTTGAGATTATTTTTATTAAAAAATATTTAGAAATTTTGTTGAGTCTAACATAAAATGGTTACTATTAAAATTTAATATAAGTGAATAAATATTTAAACAGAAGCAGTGATATATATATATATATATAGACTAATTTTTATCATATAAATGAACTATTGTTACATATATTTTTATAATTTTTTAATGATTTCATATAATTAGTATATATCATTATTAAAGTATTATTAAATTTAATAACTGACAATTCATGTCATATTAAAAATACAAAAGATAAATTGTATAATTTTTCATGTGCATTATAAAAATTCAATATTGTAAATTTTTCCTCATAGCTCTGATTGTATTCTGTAACAGGTTTATTTGATTTTAAGTGAATTTAAATGATCAACTTTTATAATGCAAAGAGATTGATCTGCAACTTTTAATTACATTAGCTTTTATAAGGTAGAAATATATTTTTTAAGGTGGTTTTTTTTATAAGCTGAATTGTCATATTGTTTTAGTGAAAAAAATTTTCAAATTTTATTTTAAAACTTATTATAATTAAGTAGAACTAAAACTACAAAATAAAATATATTTGAACACAATTGTTTTTTTAATAAAATTTATATATTTCCTATATTATAATCTTTTTGAATTTATGTTATTCCAATTCTTTTATTTATGATTTATCATTTCATACAGGATCAATGATTATAACTGAATAGACTAATGTTAAGCTATAAACAAATTTATGTAGATTAATATAAAACTCTTTTTCATCTTTATATGTTGGACCTGTTCTCTAGTCCATTTCATCTTTCTTTGGATAGTGTTAATTTATCTTTCTGCATAATATACAATTTTCTTTTCTGTAATCAAGCTATTTAGCATACATGATCCAGCACATCACAATTGTCTTTTATATATTCATTTGCTGATTCTTGTATTCTGCAAAGTTCTCTTAATGTTTTTTAAAAAAAAAATTACAAGAAAATAATTGAAGAAACAAAATTCTTTATATTTCTTCATCTTTTATCCATTATCACACCTCGGGAACAAACACACTTATGACAGTCGACCTTTTATTGTGGGCTCTTATCAATATATGTTTTGATTTAGCTATTGCTGAAGGAAAATTTTATCTTACATATTTTACATATTGAGATGGATAAGGTCTACAATAAAAGGTCAACTCAGCTGTATGACTGTTTCCAAGGTATGACGTGGATGAAAGACGAGTTTGTTTATTCAATTATTTTCTTGAAAAATTTTTTAAAGTATATATAATTGTTGTCCTGGCTATTTTATTACTTTTTATTAATATTCTGATATTCTTGTTTTTATTTTTTCTTGTATTAATGATACTGAAATGAAAACATTTAATATTTTATATAGTTTTGACACTTTAAACTCTTCCTACTGCATAAATTAATCAGATATATTATGCTTTTATAAATTCTTACCTTGGTATTTGTTAATTATATTGTATCATTCAAAATTCTAATATTCTGGACGTTGTGATTAGTTTATTGTCTAACTTCTGATTTTAGCTTCCTGTTAGTTGTCATTCATATACAGGAGCTCCTCTACTTAAGAAATATTCAACTTATGAAAATTTTGACCATATGTCTAAAGTTTAAATATTATGTGGATTTGTGGATTCTGAAGTTTTCTTGCCACTTGTGGGATGATGATGAAGTCAATCTTTGGCCAGCAATAAAGAATTAATGTAGACTTATTTCTATTGCACATCATTATTTTTTGTTTTTGCATGTATGCATATCATCTGAAGTTCAATTGCTACTCATGAGGTGGCATTGAAGTTGGAGTAACAGCATTTTTTTGCTATTGTTTGCAATTTTTATAAACTTTAGTGCTTCAAAAATGCATTCAAAATGTAATAGTAAATCAGCAATGGAGATAAATGCAAGATGATTTGCTCAATTACCATGGAAACTAAACTGTATATCATAAAACTAAATGTGTTAGGTGAAAAAAACTGAATTTGAAACATCATCTGCTATTTTTAAGAACTAACAAGTGAATAAACGAGTGTAATGTATTCTGTTAAGTACATTGAAGGATCAAACACTAACAATAAATGGTTATTCTGTATACAAATGTACTTTCTAGGTTAGTTTTCGACTTATGGCAAAACTTTGGGAACCTAACCTGTTCATAAGAGGGGAGCAACTGTATCTTAGGTGTTTAGATTACATTACATTATTTGATTATCTGATCATATAGTAGTATTTTACAACTGAGATGATCTCTATACTGTTGAACATTGCCTTTTTTGTTGATTATTATATGTCTATATCTTTCATAGTAGCATGCAAACAAAAACTCATTGTAGTGAGTCTTTATTATTTGCAGTAAGTAATACTACTACATCAGCATGGCAAATTGTATTTATAGTTTTTTCTGTAATATCATAATTTGCAAGATTATGGTATTGGAGAATGTATAGTTGCAGTAATATCTTTGAGATACTCTTCAAATTCAAATTATGGCAGGAATTGTGCTTTAGAAATAATGTTATATCTTTGATATTGATATCACCCATTTACCTAATTAAAATAGAATTTTCATGTTAAACCAGGGCTGTGAAGTCAGAGTCGGTGAGTTTTGATGTTTTAGTAGGAGTCGGCAAATTTTTGATGATTCTGACTCCTTTTTACTTCCCAGCTTGTTATGTATAAAACGGAAAGATATTGGGAACATGTCAAATTTGATCTTCAAAGTTTTTTTCCAACTGAACCCAAAATAATGTCAAATAAAGAAGGAACATTCGTGTGTGCGTGTGCACTGAGTCCAAAAATGTAAAAATTTGGGAAAGGTGATTTTTTGACCAATTGCTACACTTTCCCCCTCTGTTATATACAACAGTCGGGAAAGTAAAAATTATTGAATACATATTTATATGTTGTCTGTATCATTACTTAGAGGAGTGTTTTTAGCTTTGGAATAAAAACATTTCTACATTCTATCTTTATTAGAACTCTATTGAATCTTTTATTCTGAGGTTACGTGATGATATCAGAATTCCCCAAGCCTATTTTGATAACAAGTCTGCCCTAGTCAGAGTTGGATGGTAAGTAAAAGTTGGAGTCAGTAAATTTTTACACAACTCCACAGCTCTGTGTTAAACTAAAGGCAATGGAATAAAAATTAAATTTAAAAAATTTTTTAATGTTAGATTAATTTACGCTGTTTTTGTTTCTGTATTGCATTTTAGAAATTTTTGTTTTTGTCTTGATTTGACTTTGCATTTTTCTTTTGAATTACACAATCATTATTTATTTATAAAACTATCATTTATTCATAACAGTGGGAGTATGTTTAAATTCCTGCATTTACAAAGAAAGCTTAATTTAGCTGATGTTCTGCAAAGTTTTAGAACGGATTTACAATAGGACTTGGCTGGCCAAGCCATCTTCAGTATCTCTCCAAAACTTGGATTGTATAAACACACAATGCACAAAA